GAAAGGAGATAAACCGAATTCCTTTGTGTTTGACGGCTGTTCCGTCAGAATTTAACAGGTTCATTAACCTGAGCTTTCGTTTAATTTGGGGGATCTTCGCAAGGGAATGTTTCTGTATATAGGAGATAGAATCGGATAAGTACAAAGACTTACCTCTAAGTTGACAAGGAAGACTTCCCTTTCAATACCCTTATCACGTGTAACTGAATCATTTCGGTTCTACAATCAGTTTCGGAGTAAATACACGGTAACTATGGAAACAGGTAATGAACCACTTTAGTTAAAAGCACTGTATTTGGAACGACGGGAAATTACAAGCATGCCTAAGAGGTTTCTAATAAACACTTCTTGAGGGTTGATAAGTAAAACTAGGAAACAGCGCGAGCCTTTAGGTTCTTAGAATTTCCATATTTATGCGAAGACCCTACACCTACAAACAAAGAAGTCCTCTGTATGTAATGGCTAGCCCGGGTATTTTTGACAGTAAAATTTATTCTATTCTTCAGTTTCTTGTGGATATAAGTTTAAATGTTTACAGTCCTTGCCAAATACTGAAATCTGTGGCATTTCTAGAAACCACAAATCTCCAAAGATAGGGTTAATTTAATATAGTTAACTCTTTTACTTTGAAATATTCACAACAATAGCGAAACTCATAGACGTTCTCTTACTATATGAACTAATGACGTAATAATTTACGTGGAAATATAAAATATAATCATAAAACAATTTAATTTATTTTCTATGCACCATGCGACACATACAGACAGATGCGACAGCTTTTTATGTGGATAAAACAAATATTTATTGAGAAACGTAAAAAGTGTAATCAAATGGAATGTCCTACTAAATATTTAAATAAAGTTTTTTTCTTACCCTCACAGACGTTATGGGAGTAAGGAAGGAAGGAAGGATTATACAATGACACAACACGCTGATAAATCACAGGGGACGAATAATCCTGATTACGTTAAATCGTTAGACTATGTTCACTTACAACATAAACTAACAAAATACTGTATTTTTAACCTCGCCACGTCAGAAAGTTCGCGCCCTTCCATTTGCGGGCGTTACGGAGCGTGAGTCGTTTACCCCAGATGGGCGTCATCAACTTACTTCGTGGGCTTCGCCTCTCTCGTACAGTCCATTTTAGGCTTGATGCCTCCATAAGGAAATCTCTCAGGAGGTCGAATTGGATTACTGCAGCAGAACGACACTAAATCACAGCAGTGATTTGAAAACGTCCCGCGTCTGGAAGCGTTCGAATACCAAAGTGCTCGACGGACCAACTAAAAGTGCTCTGAAGCTGTCTTCTGTGTTGTAGCGCCTTGAAAACCTCAAATCCTACTAAAAAATAAGTTTATTTAGAGTTTTCATTACTAAAGCCTATCTATGCACTATGACGCTGTAGTCAGAATTACTGCTTCTTATTCGGAATTTCACTATTCAGAATCTAAGACCGGAACAATCTGACTAGAGGATTTTCTGAGTCACGCCTGGCGCTTGGTACGACTACAAAACTGAAGCAATAATGCAATCCACAAGGCGCTCTTTTCGCATCTTTCCCAACTGAGCCTTTGCATTTAATATATATGTTCAGTTGATAAAAGTTATTTTTATTATTAGTGTTCTGTCTGACGACAGGTCCGTCCTCGGCAATTATGATTCAGAAGTGGTTTGCCATTTCCTTCTTCTGTGTGTGAATGGAGTAATTGTTGGGATGTCATGGAGAATCCGGGAAAGTTTCGGAGAAAAACTCCGTGATACCTGGACCACGGCCTTACCCAACACTAGTTATAAATTTGGGCACCACCGGGAATCGAACCCGGGACCCCAGGATTACAAGGCCAGCGTTCTAACCGCTAAACCACCGTGGCGGGTTTGATAAAAGTATCATTACAAAAATTAACACATTACTACAGCTATATATTGGCAATAGAACCTAACTCCTTCCTACTGAAATTTAAATGTCTTAATGATATTCGTTATTTGTAAACCATCGAGTCTCATAAACGCTTGTCAGTAATATAGCTATTTCAATACACCCAACCTTTTCACGCAAAGGCGGTAAGTTATCCAGTTTCCGAAATGTTTGTTTATTTCGGAATGACAGACGGACAAAACCAAGAAATTCTACAACGAGCCTAATATTTGCCTTAGACTTATGCCATCGTCGGAACTCACTATAAGTGATTGAAATGTGTAATACACACATACTAAACATTTTAAGTACTGACGTTTACGAATTTTTTTTTCGTAAATTGAAGTTGTTTTCCTTCAAAGTTCTAACATATCTTATATTAATAATCTACATTTCATCAGATGACGAGACTCAAATTAGGCTCCAGCGCCAAAAATATATATGCAAACGAATGGATAACTGTTTATATTTTATTTAACGATGCTTGTATATCAGCGTAGGTACTATGGAGTTATTAAGTCATTAAGCATCTGATAATGTCTAATGACTAACGATAATAAGTGCTCTCCATTCCTTAAATTGAAGTATACATTCAAATCCAATAAGAAATCAAATGCCTTGTCTTATCAATTCTAATTAATCTGCAGAGCTATGAAAACATAGATTCAGAAGCAGAATCCGACGGAGACTATCGTAATGGGATACCCTAATATGTTTGTAAGAGTTTTGCTCCATGTTGGTGTAAAATCATCTCATGAACTCATTTATCTTCACATTTAACGACCTTTAAAAGGCTCTGCTATTGCTGCAGACGTTTATCTGAGAAACAGATATATGCTCTTGCAAATCACGTGGAACGTAAGTGCACAGATAATTACATAACACTAACTCTTTAACACCTTATTTCCGTACTAGTTTAACAACTGTGAACTATTTTCAGGAGTTTAATTGCAGTATCGGTGTAATGGAAGGCATGTCGGTTACTTCTCACGGGAAATATTCATACTGTAATTAGCAGAAATATAATTAAAGGTCCTGTAAAGGCAACACCGGCTGAACCTAAAATCCATGAGTTTTTACTTTAATTTAAGTTAAATTAGATATATGTGTTCATAGGGAAGCGGTCTTTTTAATACCTTCGGAGATCTCGGCTTATTACAGTCTAGAAAGTACTTTTAACATTGCAATTAGAGAAATGAACGGGCTTAGTTTCTACTTTTATCTAATGTTCGAGCGCGTTCTTTTGTGTCTATGAGAGACTGCGGAGCACGTGGCGAGTTGGTGCATACCCGCGCAGTAGGTGGAGTTACGCTCGTCTATAGGAAGTCAGTGCGCTTGCCTGTACAGAGCAACGCTTTGCCGGAAGGAGGCCGAAAGACGGTCCAAAGCAGTAGTCGTCCGAGGGACACAGGCGGACCGACCGACCGATCGACCGCGACTCGCGACGTCCTCCGAAGACACAAGTGACTGTGAGCAAGTGAACGAGCGTTGTGTTCAGTGGGTGGGTTGTCCTGACATGATCTCAGTGGACCGGTGCAGTGGCACGCTGACAGTGCCATGTCCGCCCGCCGGCTCGTAGCATCACTCTTCATATTCTTCATTGTTGTCGTGTCCGGTAAGAAGTCATAGCATGTTCCTTGCAGTTCACCACACGTCGGTTACGAGGAGAAAACGAAATATACAGACAGGCAATACAGTCTCAGTCTTTTAAATTACTTTGAAGCTAATGGCCTGCCAACAGAACCACCTTTGAACTTCCGACGATGAACGCTGCACCAGAGACATATCACGTTCACTTCTCACACATGACAATTTTTGCTACACGTGGACAGCCAAAAAGACAGCGATGTTACGGACCACCCGGAAAGCGGTTTATAAGAATTCCATACATTTGACCTTTCAACTAAAACAAGTGTTCTTCATAAGTATTTTCACGATACAAAGTAATATTCTATCGCGCTAAAACACCTAATATAACAAAAATTTTATCACATTGCTAAAAGTTTTCATAAGCGTACGTTAGATTTGAGTTTCTCACGGCGATGAAGATGTTGGACTTCTGGGTTGGAACGCAATGGGAACTTGTGGTCAGATACCAAATTCGTAGGATCATACTGCTTCCATCATGAAACCTGGAAATGGAAGCAGTATGTACCTCCGAAACGTTGATATCAACCTACAAGTCCACAGGCGTAACACCCCAGTAGACCAACTTACACTTAATCAGCCTATAATAAATTACTCTTTACGTATATATGTATACAGTCTCGTCATTTTATACTCAGAACGAACACGAAACGTAACAACTGTCTGGTCACCAAAGTTACAGAATTCTCTACGTTCTATTTTAGATAATAAGAGATTAAATCATTCTGTACGCGTTTATATTACGGATAAATTAAAATTAACGTTGTATATTCTTTCTGAAGAGGTATAGCTACTGCATAGCATAATATCATAACTCATATCTTCATAGGAACACAGAGAAGTTGTTCTTTAATTGATTTTTCTGTCAGTAAGCACTGAACGTAGCGATTGAGATATTCATATTTCAGATTCATATCTTGGATGTCTCGGATTCGGTTATCGGCCCTGACACCGGCTACACTGATTTCTTGTTGGTTTTAAAGCAAATGCTCTGATAGTGAGCCTACATTAAAACAGGTCGCGACAGACTCCTTACAAATCTTTTCAGATTCATCGTTTACAGTCATCCTCCCCTTCGATATCATAAAACTTATGTAACTGGAAAAGTTGTTAAATAAACTATGAAAAAACTTTCAAAAGTCTTCAGACAAACGAAATGGTAGCCTACAATATTACTAAAAAAAGCAAATAATGTCTTTACTACGTCGTCCCTGAAAGTTTCAGTGCGAATTCAGTGTTGCTGTGTAAATTCATCTTCAGATTACGGTCTTTGTCGTGTGAGTGTACTAACTCTGTATCCATGATCCTCCAGCAGCGATTTAATATAGCTCCTTCTCACTCAGAAATGTCTGAAAGAAACTTCAGTGGCAGAGGGGTGATGTACAAACAGTTATTATGACACACATAATGAAATATTTCTGAGATTATTAGTAATGTAGATATAAAATAGAAGTACGTCGTTTTAGAAGTTCTGATCGTGAAACACGAAGTCCTTTCTGGGGAGACAAGGTAAATATATTCTTAAAATTAAGCAACGGAGGATGAAAGAAAACACGAAATTCTGGTGAAGAAATCTAAACGAAAATAGTCTACCGATTTAGAAATAATGCATTCAGAAAAACTTTATGATAACTTATTCGTTATTATAGTCAATATGTTTATTATAATTCTGTATTTCCATAATTTCTGTTTGCACAGCGAAATTATTAACATTAATTACAAGGAATGATATGCCAATTTCTTTATCGCTAGAATATTAGATTCTGGAATATCTAAAGGGCTAAGAGGTGAAGGATATCTCGGTCAGCCTCAGCTCATGCTAACCTCACGGTCAGGACTTTGGAAAAAGTGCTGGCACTGAATGTTAGGTACGAGCACAGGCAATCGCACTTTTTAAAATTTACAAAAGCTTAGCCAAAAATATTTGGCGCCAATACAATAACTTGTTGGTAAATGTAAGATTCAAGACGGAGGACGTGAAAAAAAAAAGATTTTAATTCATCCGCGTTTATTAAAGCAGAAAGGTAAAGGAGAACTTTTACGATTTTCGAAGACGTAACTGACAAAGAATCGAAAATTTTCCACTACTTTCATATACCAACAATTAAAGTCAAACTGTTTCATTCAAAAACTGAGATATAAAGATAGAGTATTTCATCTTAAAGCTGAAGTTCAGAAGTTATACGAGTAAATAATCGATTTGTATAGCCTGTTTCAGGCTGTAGTATTAACTCACGTTTCACAAAACATTTAGGCAGTCGCTACTTATTGTTAATATGGGTCGGCCCTGAGGGGGACACCCCCCTCAGCCCCCCGTGCGATTCTTACATCGGATAAAGCGCTCTAAAAGCAGCTCACTCACCTCCATTCAGTGTCGATGTTAAGAATATGTGGAGCACGTTTTTGCTCACCATATCACGGCGTTAGACCCTGGAAGAACTCTACCTCCAACTTTTACGAATGACGATAATGACAGGGAAAATCGAAGGCCTCGCTGAAAGACCTGTCCCAATGCCAATTTCTCCACCAAGAACAGTCCTGGTGCAAACCTAGGCCTCCACCCTGACAGTCTGACGACTAACCACCTTAGCTATATTACGACCTGACCGTACACTTACTTTTCTCTGCGTTTACTTCTAGATCAACTATGTTAGTAGAATATGCGTTTTCTTATGATTTTTAGTATAATTTATTTCAAAAAGTTCCTGTGGCGAAGAATGGGAATTTTGGCTGTTAAAAACTGAGGAAAATATAGTGCCGTGTTATGGTGGTAAACATTATTTTTAGGGATATAAAACATCTCATATACTGATTGAAAATTTTGCAAATGACAGTATCTGACAAAACTGAAATATCTGAATGCAATTTCCCATTATTCTTATTCTTTAATATTGTGTTATTTGTCAAACTAATGACCCAGAACAAGAGAATATTTCACCTGTACAGCTCGGCACGTGGATTCTAATTTCTGGGATGAGATCATGCTAATTCCAGCCTGCGTAACTCCTACCCGCGGATCCCAGTAATCCAATCAGGTGCAGTATGTACCGACAATCAACACCAGTTCACGGCTGGGCGTATTATTAAATAAAACATGTCAATCACTGTGTCCCGACAGAATACCCACCGTGCCTAATTTATATGCAGAATAGGAGAGGTTTCGCGTTACACTGAAATACTGTTAGAGAATATCCATAATTTAAAGTCTTATTTAAAATCAACACTCACTCAAATGGGTCTACCGCTCTATCAGTAACGTAGCCACAAACTCTTTAACAAATTAGTCCGAACTCAGAGAATAACGTGCTTATTACAACTCGTCGATTTATGAATGTTCAATTAAATTATTATCATGTTCATCCATTTAAAAAATTAACATCTTATCCGTTTTATATAAGTATATATGTATTTGTTGTAGATTATTTTAATATACGTCTCTTTGCTTTGATTCACTTAACTATGTGACCTGAGAGAGAGATTTTATTCTTTAATACCTCAAGACTGCTTATGTTGACCTATCTAACTGAGTTTAGTGCAGACAGCTTAATGACATTCATTTATATAAAATGTGACAGCTAACGACTCAACTTTTGAAATCGATTGAAACCAGCTTCATGGTGGAAACTGTCTCTTTCTTCCTTTTCTTGCCACGACAAAAAGTTATTTCTTGTAAAACACACTTAATCAGTTACAGATTGTCAAGGATCTGTTGAACGTTCATTTCAACATTATTCCATTGTTTAAGTATTTTGTGTAAATAATTAGCGAAAGGAAGTTTTACTAAAATTTGCTAAAAACAAATGCATATTTGTCACTCACTTGTTTATCCCCTGCAACTATAGACAGAACACGAAGAGGCGAAGTAATATTCTTTATAGTTGTTCGGATTTTTCTCTTGAAATCAACAGTTTTATGAAAAGGACTTAAGAATTAGGCTAAAATGTTTGATTGGCAATAATTTATACATATAATAATGTTAAACTATCTTTATTATATTTTGTACCTTCAACCATATGACGGCTTTTACTGATTAAAGTCGGTGTAATAACTAAGAAGATTCGTAGCAAATTTTAATTACACTTTATGGTATGGTAGAGAACGAAATGCAAACAAAAATTATTTTTGATGCTGATAAAGTGCTATAGTTACTTCGAATTTGAAATTCAATTCAGAACTTATATTAAGTTTAGTTCAGTTTTCAGTTCAATTAAGTTTATGTCAGTTTATTTAAATTTATTTCATTTTAGTCGAGTTTAATTAAATTTAGTTCATGAGTGTTAGTGAATTGTGAATTTTATTATTGTCTTAAAGAAAATTTCTCTTATCATAAAACTCAAGTGTCTTTCAATATACAAGACAACCACCGAATGTTACCAAGCATCAACAACGAAATGTCTCTTAAATAAATACTAACTATCACCACGTCTAATTTTTAGCCTCCAGAGTAGCCCATTTGCACCCACACGGTGACAAAGTAGATATATTTGCTTTACTGTATTTTGTGTTTGTAATTCCGTATGTTCCCTTAACGTGCTGCTATTGTATAAAGCAAAGAACCGTGTTTAAATGTTTCTTATATTTTATTTAAGCGTACTAGTGTGGATTATGAATGACATAGTCAGTTACAAGAATTATAAAATTTTTACTGAACATAAATTCGAAAGACTGTAGAACAAAGCGATGGTAGCATTGACCCGCTTTTAACAGAACCGTACCATCCCGCAAATTTCGCAGGAAGGCCTGAGGAAAACTTCCGCCATGACAGTCGGTATCCAGATCAAAATTTTCCCCAGGATCTCTCGAAAACCTTGATCAAGAAGTTTCGTAAATACTTCCGAATTGTATTTTACACCACGTAAAATTCAGATACGCACGGCATGATGAGGGTGACTACATAATGTGACAGAACAGGCACCACATTTCGTCGAAACTGATTATTAATCGTACTATTTTCATACAAGGATGTTA